AGGCATTGTGTCAAATTGAGGAGCCTCTGTGGTCATCATATCCCATGATAAATTACTAGAGAATAGGAGAAGATACAACTCTGAGAGCAGGCACTTTGTTTACAATAGATAACATTTTATCAACAGAGCTTTGGTCTCGCATTGCAGTGGTCTTCATTTGATTCTTCATGTCTTTTGACTTGTCATTGTGGTTTTTGAATTAACATGGTACTTTTTAAGAATTTATTGCTCTAGTTTTCTTATTCTTAAAATGACTTGAAATTATATCTAGATGTACCATGACTTCATGAATATAGCACGTTAGTTTCTCCCACTGACTAATAGACTACTTTTAATTACATACTGCCTTCATAAATGTAACCATTATGAGTTCTGAAGCCTTAGGCTGAATCTATTGAAAATCATCTTCTTAATCATGTCGTATTCGACATCTCAGCATTGCATTTTTACCTTAGCTACTTTATGTCAATCTCTTTTCATAGCCATTATAAATGAATGGAATAGTCATTAAACTGGATGTCAGAGACAGAGGGCCCCTCAGCACTCTTGTAGTCCCCATGTCATACAAATGCTGTTGCTCAGATAAGTAGAATGAACATCAAGAGTTGTCTTTATTTTTTATTTTGTCAAATGTCTCTGAGAGAGCAAGCAGAGGTCTTTCACTCAGACTTCTTTATAGGCCAGTATAATATTTACAAGATGACTAACAATGAAGTCAGAGATATGACCCAGGACCAGAAGACATGGCCCTCTGAAAAAGTAGCATGTATACTTCACAATCAGTGATTCTTGGTTAAGCGACATTCACTTATTATCTCTGTATGAATGTGAGATAATGAATACAAGAAGACAGGTATCCAGATGGAATTAAGGATGTCACCACAAAGGTAGCCACATGGCTCAAAGAAAGCATTCCTCCATATTAATGACTCTGGCCCAACTGCCTTTCCAATACATGTCCATTAGCATGGGGACCTCTGCCAGCCCTTGAGAAGTATGACCCTCCACCCTTTCCCTACATCCCTATTCACTGCTACTCTAGAGCACATTCTACAGGTCTTCTAAAATATTGATGAATAATTGTTTTCCTTCCTATTATACTAGTTTTTCCAGCCCCTCCCTTCAGAGGCCTAAAGACTGAATCTGTGTTAATGAGCCTATGTAATAGGCAGCAGGCAAGGAATTGGTCATGATCTGCTTACTTAGCATACTGTGACTTAGCTGTCACGGATTCAAGCAGAAGGTACTGGCAAGGAGCAGCATCTTTAGCACCAGATCTAGTATAAACCCCTTTACCCATACTTAATTATACTAGAAAGCATAAGCATTCAGTACATTGCAGTCTGCTTCCAGTAGTCGAGGTTGAAATGCCATTGCATTTGCCAGTTCCCTTGCATTTGGAAAGCAGCTCACCACCACGGAGTGAACTTTTACCTTCTCAGAAGCCAACTGTAAGTTCCAGGATTATGTTAAAGTGGGCTGCTGTCAGAAAGAAACCTTGCCTTGTTACTCTGAGCAAGAAGTCACATACAAAAATATACCAACACACAGTCATTCTCATTAAAGTCAGTTGGAATTTTAGACAAGTCTTAAGTATAAATTATAACTTTATTAGCTCATAGAGTTTTCTCAGGAGAAAGTAAATCTAATAAAATTAGAAGGAACTTATTAAAGGGCTGCCTTGTTGCTATTTGTTGTGCTGGGGAGAAAAAAATAATATGATTGTGGGGTTTGCAGCCAACGCTTTTTTTGTTGTTGTGGACTGGAGAGCAATTCAGAAAGCAGATAGGCGGAGGTGAAAAGACTATGCATGTCTCATTACCATTGCACTGAGAACTCTTTAATTGATGCTTTATGTAAGCATTTCCTGCTGCAGAGTTAGGACGATCTTTAACTGTTACTGAGAAGGGAAAAGCAGGCTCCAAACCATCGTCAGAGGTCACCAGGGCACACTACTTATTTGCAAAACTGCTCAATCACCTTCCAGAGAAGGGATTCTAGGGGAGCTCACCAGGCTTACCAAGTACAGAAGGCAGATCCAGTAATTGCCAGGCACACTGTGGGGAAGGAGATGATGGCTTTAAAGGAACTTGTAATTATTGTTGTCATGATTATTTATTAATCAAGACTTTTAAACGTTGGCAAGAGAAGCAGAAACCACGTTATCCTATACACCAACATGGCCTCTGACTCTCTGACTGACTACCTGATCTTTCCAACATTAGAGCAGCATACTAGTTGACTTGGGAGTTTGATGCTCAATTTGAAGTCATCAAATGCCATGTAAAAAGAATGCAATTTAGAATTTTGATAAGTGTATGTGCAAAGAGTTATTTAATAAATAGGTCTTTAATCTGGGATTTCTATTTGCAAATTAGGACAATAATCCTCTTAGATTAATATAAAAAACTGTGCAATTGCATATCTCTAGAAAGACTAGTCACATTAACATTCAGCAGATTCACAAGTACTCCATGACCAAACAGAGCGTAAGGACAACTCTAACGGTCTTCTCCCTACATGGATACCAATGAATAAAGAGCATGACTCCCAGGGATGAAGAAAAGTTTGTTGGAAACCACAGTGCTACTTAAAGGCAGATCTGAAAATTGAAGTTTTTCTTTCTTGGTGTAAAATTAACAGTTTCGGTTGTTTTGGTCAGTAGAAGTCCTCTGATGATACACAAGGCCGGTTGTAGACCACATCCAGAACAGAGATGGATTATCCTGAGATTACTTTTAACTCTGAGATCCTATTCACACCCACCTTCATAGAGAATAGCACCATATAGCATACAGATGACCCTATAATAATTTCCACTTAAAAATTACTTCCATTTTATGATTACTAATTCTCCTTGCCCACTGATCTCTTTTGCTAATGTTGGCTGATTGAGAGTAATATTAAAAATGAGTTTTCCAAGCTAGGGATATGACTCTGTGAATGACATGCTCAAGGACCTGAGTTCAATCCCCCATATGCATGAAAAAATCACATGTGGTGGCATGCACCTGTAATCCCAGCACTGGAAAGGGTGGATGAGAGAATCTCTGGTTTTATCTAGTCAGCCACCCTAGCCAACTTGATTAGCTCCAGGTTCAGTGAGAGACCCAGTTATCGAACTAAGGTAGCGCCAGTAAGATGGTTCAGTGGGTAGACACACTTGCAGCCAAAGTTGACGACCTGAGTTAGATCCCCGGAATCCACATGACACAAAGAGAGAGCTGATTCTCACAAGTTATCTTACCACCACACTCACATGTGGCACACATACACACACATGCTCACATACACATAAAATAAATAACTAAATATAAAAATAAACATTTTAAAAATAATAAAATGGAGAGCAACTGAGGAACACACCCACACATGCGTATGCATGCATGCACACATGCACATATGTACGTACACACACACACAAAACCATGTACATACATACACACAAAAATAGGTTTGCATTCCATGATTCTTAACCAGCTGATGGCCGCTGATAGAATTATATCCACATCAGGACCAGCTACATAATTTGGAGGCACAGTGAAATAAAAATGAAAATTCAGAGCCTTTTGTCTAAAAAGTATTAAGGTTTTCAAGACAATAACAGTAGAGCCTTCTATCAAGTGTGGAGCCCTTCTAAGCATGAACCAAACCCAATGAAAACCACTCTGTTCTCTAACTTTTGTCCTACTGGGAATCCCAAGAAATAGTAGCCCACACCTTCAAATTTTCCATAATTTTATAAAGTTAGAGTGGTATGCTCATAATCTTAAGGACTTTTTTTCTTATCTGTGCAGGTGCTCCTGCACACACACTCATAAGCACACACAAATCAATTTCAATAAAATTCCCATTTTCTTCCTCACATTAATGCCAATAACCTACACTAGTTTGCTTTCATTTTTCATTTTGGGCCCATTATGTTACCATTGTAACCAGTTTTCATAACCAAACAGCAAAGGTGGGACAGAGACAGACCTCCAAGGACATCTAAAGCTCTAGTAGAGGCTGGTACAGTTTTCTAGTAGAAAGCTGTGTCAGATGACAGATCAACGGGGTCTATTTTAGGCTGCCAAAAAGGCAAAGGCAGCTTTGGGATGTGCAGTGTAATGAGCTAGTACTCTGAGGCTTAGAGCATTATGAAGACAGAAAGCATTTTTTTTTTAATTCAGAAAACAGGAATCTGGAGTTCCAACAGGTAGGCAGGTTAACCAACAGGGAAAATGACGAGGACTTGATATGCTTGGGCTATACATATTTCAGTAGAGCAGAGACATCCAAGATGCCACACTCTGCACTTCCCATTTTAGTGTCATACTAGGATTTCAAGTTTAATGTGCAACATCTGTGCTTCATAGGCGTTGAAGCCAAATGCTGGGTGATGTCCCATTGGTACTCAATATGCAGAAACCAAAACATAATGTGCACAAGGTAAAATTTACAGTTGCTGCACTCTATGTAAACTCAGACCTATATCAGCAAAGGAAAGGCCAGATAGCACAGAAAGGACAGGAATTGACTAAATCAATTTTTATTAGTTTCATATGTAGTCAGTTGTCACATAAGAGGTTCAATACTCCAAAGCTCGTTTCCTGAATGCATCTTGCACTCTGGAGAAGTGGGAAATCAGCCTTTCCTGTACTTCTCTTATAAAAGTGCAGAGAGAAATTGCCCTACCTCCACTTAATTCTCAGAGATCTTCTCTCCAGTTTTGCAGGGCATTTTCTAAAAAGAAAGCCAAGAATAAAGTTTAATGTCAATACATGCATGGTACCTGTGCATGAGAACATCCATTCACTCAATAGTCCATAAATTTACCCAATATGCACTGTCTGATCACTTGGAGATAACCAGTGTTATGCTAGGCATGTACTAAACTGTGCCAGGTGAAAAATCAAAAATTAATGGTAAATAAAATAACCACAGATTTATTAACCAGTGTGAACATGAAGTAAACATTTTACAATTTTCTAATATGCTATTACCTCTTTGTTTTGCAGTGTCTGTGGGATATGAATATGAAACATGCCCTGACTTTATTCTCTGGGAACAAAGGACTGTCGTTTTACAAGGTTTTGAGATGGATGCTTCTAACCTAGGAGGCTGGTCCTTGAATAAGCACCACATTTTTAACCCTCAAAGTGGTAAGAAGCCCTTAAAATTTGTATTGATCTGTTCTCCTAATACTATTTAATACATATTCATCGTAGACAATTTGGTCAGGTGTAAGAGAAAAATCACCTACAGGGATGCCACTTAGAGATGTCTAAGTTAGTACATTTGCTTTCTAGAGCTATAATTTAGTTTTGAATTAGTTTTAGTGTTTAAGAATTGGAACACTCTTGTCTACTGTCACTCCCAGTTTGTAATTCAAGCCTTAAACAAATAAGGAAATAAATAAGAAGAAAGGACCACATGACTCCCCTGAGCCCGTACTTCTCAGCAGACTAATTTTTCCACCCCAGAGATGACATCTGCATTCAAATTACACATGCTTTTGTATCCCACTAGGAAACAAGTCCTTAGTATTTACTTCCTGCTTTCCAACAAACATCTAGTTGTAACTTAACACTCCAAAATTACATTCCTTTTTGTCTAAAGAGGCAGTTTCTAAGGAAGCTGCAGTAGTCCATGTAATTCAGGTTACTTTTCCAGAAAACATGAATAAACATATATTGAGGGCAGATACAATCTTCCCTTCAGCTGTCCTTCCTTTCATTCTATAATTATAGAACAGCTAGATAAATCTGGGCTGTCTTGCAAAGCTAAGAGATTGTACTGGATAGCTTTACTGTCAACTTGACACACCTGGGTTGAGGGAGCCTCAATCGGGAAATTGCCTCTATTGGACTGGCCTGTGGCCATGTCTGAAGGGCATCTTCTTGATGAGTGATGTGGGAGGGCCGAGCCCACTGTGGGTGGTGCCACCCCTGGGCAGGTGGGCCTGTGTTGCATAAGAAAGCAGGCTGAGCAGGGGCCAAAGGAGCAAGCCTGTAAGCAGCATTCCTCCATGGCCTGTGCTCCAGCTCCTGCCTCATTTTCCTCCCCAAGTTGGTAATGGTCAGAGTGTTTTGTCACAAAAATGTAGAAACAAGACAGTAATTGGTACCAGAACTGGGGTATTGCTGTGACAGACCTGACCTTGGTGTTTTGGGAGGACTGTGGAAAGTGTTTGGAACTTTGGACTGGAAAAGCCACTTGAGTGCTTAGAGTTTGTTGCTGTGCAGCTTGGAATAGTTATGCTGAAAGAGTGGTAGACAGTGGAGGCCTGGCTTGTGAATCTTCAAAGGGAAGCAGAGACTATCATGGCTTTTTGCTTAATATCTTGAATTGAAACTGTGGCTTTTGGATGGCTGGAGCTGAAGAATCAGCTGTTTTTAAGATGAGACTAGAACCACTGAAGTGAAACCTTTGCTTTACTGGAACAATTGATGCTGGTTAAATGGGCTGAAAAATCAGCTGTAAGTAACAAGAGAGCAGCATCACTGTGGCAAAATCTTCTGGGAAGTATTTCCTCAGGGTGAGCTCACAGAAGCTGTGTAGTTCAAAGGGGGCCCAAGCCTTCACCTCAATCTGGAAACAGGATTTGTAAGAGTCTCCTGCATCGTTCTGGTGTCACAGACAGCAACTGAAGCTTGGCACTCTGGTAGGCCATGAAAGGCCACTGGTGAAAGTGCAGCTTCAATTGCACTGAAGACCCCAGGATTGAAAGGGTCATAGAATCTGAGGCTTTGCACCCCAAGAAGCAAGAAGAGACCATTTGTGAAGGTGCAGCCTCAGCTTCTATGGAGACCCCAGGTTTTTGGAGATGCCAGGACCATGGACTGATCCACAAGTGCAGCAGCAGGTATGAAATGGAGGCTGCCTAGGTCTGGGAGAGGATTGGTGTGTACTGTGGACAGCACAGTCAGAGAAGTGGAGCTTCCAAAACCCTTTAGAACCCAGAGGATCGTGAATGAATCCCAAATGTCCAGTCTTGAGCCATGTTGCTGGACTTAAGTTTTGCTTAGGTGTGCCCAATTCTTCCCTTTTGAAATAAGACAGTACTTGTTTTGGATTTTACAGGAGCCCACAGTTAAGAGACTGTGAATTTTTAAGCATTTGGATTTTTTTAAGCACTGTGGGACTTTTAAGGTGGTACTGTCTTATGTTTTGGTATTGCTATCATAACTTGGGAACAAGGAATGAGAAGGTTGTGGTTTAACAGTGATGTGTTTGTGCATCAAATTGACAAGGGGTCAATTGTGCTGGATAGCTTTAGTTGTCAAGTTGACACAGCTGGGTAGAGGGAACCTCAATTTTGGAATTTCCTCCATTGGATTGGACTGTGGTCATGTCTATGGGGTATTTTCTTGATTATTGAGTGATGTGGAAGGGCCCATCCCACTGTGGGTGGTGCCATCCCTGGGCAGGAGAAACCTTCCATAAGTGTTGGCCAGGGTTATCTACAAGACTCCCAAAATTGCACAGACTGTTGCCACAGTCCTTAATGGCCTCCCTAAGGTTGAAGGTAAGACACTACTGATGAAGACAGAACATATGTTGGACCCAGGATTTGGAGTAATAGAGCTGGAATGGACCTGAAACCACTTCCCCTGAAAGATAGCTCCCCTAACCTTGGAGAGCAATATGAATAGGCCAACGGAAATATCAATCAATGGTTCAACACCAGCTTCAAGACCAAGTAACCACATCAGTGACTGGCACAGTGTATAACATTGGTGTAGTACTGGCACTTTTATCTTGAGGGCAATCAACAGCTACCTAATTGGGTAAGACAAATAAACCCTTTCCTCCCCAAGTTGGTACTGGTCAGAGTGTTTTGTCACAGCAATAAAGAAACAAACCGAGACAGAGATCAATTTTATAACTCTGACCACAATGTAATTTCATTTACACATGTAGTCAGATCAGCCATATAGACTTGGAAATTTTGATTGGCACAGCTAACAAGATTTACTTCACTAAAAGAATGAGACCTCCTACACTAGTCTCAGGGTGAGACAATGAAATCCATTGCCTTATGTCACCATTGTACTTCTCCCTTCCCATGAAAGAAGATGCAAAATTCCATTTCAATTTGTTTTTTTTTAACAGCAAAATTGAAGCACAGACACAAAATGTCAACTTTTTCTCTGTTGTCAAAAGGAGAGCCACAGTTTTCAAAGCGCACAAACGAAAGAGCAGGTGCCACTTATTAAACTATTAGAGTTTTTTTTGTTTTGATTTGAAAGAGTTTGACATTTCTTTTCCACTCACTTTTATTGGCATATATGGATTGTCCCTTTCAAATGCCTATCATTGACATTAAACACAAAGTGGGAAATGACCTCAATGGAACCAGCCCCAGCTGTGTGGTACTCCCTGTCCTGTATCTTCTTATCGTTTGCTTCACACAGACTTTGAGACAGAGGGGAGTTATTCAGAAAGTTGGCTTTGGAGGCCACCTGGTTTCCACAAACACGTCCTTCCACCCCTAATTCACCCATAAATACTTTTTATGTAATTAAGTGCCAAGTTACTTCTGAGAATTTTTAACTGCTTTATTGAAGTATAATCTAGATACCATAAAAGCTCACCTATTTTAATGTCCAATTAAATGATTTTTAGTAAATTTATATTTGTGCGGTGATCACCAAAACCCACATTCAAAATATTTTATCACAGCAAAAAGATCTCTTACATTCCCAGAAGTCTCACTAAATCTCCTGTCTATCTATACTTTTCTGATCCTTTTATTCTGAAAATAAGAAGCCTTCCTAATTTAGATAGATTCCCACCCCTAAGGACATTTGCCCATTTTACCATCTCATTTGGAGAGGCAAGGCGAGGTGTGTTTCTCACCAAAAACTGGTCACACTTGCCAGGAACTAGATCTGAACCCAGTTCTACGAGTGCCTTTCAGCTTGGCCTTGGACATAGATGCCTGTCTTGGATGTTTTTTAGGTCTAAATCCCACCCACAAAGGCAGTTTTAGAAGCAGGAATGGTAAGCGAGAGGGAGTGGGGTGGGAACATCAATTTTGAAAGAAATGGTCTCCCCCTGTGGGTCCGATGGTCTTTTCTGACTGATTAAGTCAAGAGCAACGTCTTTCCAACTACTCCCACTGCACTTGTCTCAGGAAAAAGCCTACCACTCTAGGCACCCTGATTTTTTTTTTATTTGAGACAGTAGATTAGAAACAAGAATCTATCTTCCTCCAATTTCCTTTCACTGGTTATAAAGACACCCATAATAAGATTGAACGCCTGCTGCCATTCTAGTCTCAGTTTTTCTTTGCCTTCTGAATCATGTAGTGGGTAGTTTCCAATAGGTGCTATGTTCAGACCATTCATCATTTCAGTTGCAGCAATTTACCTTACAATTAACCATTGCTTGTAGAGAAATGTTTCCAAGTATTATGTGTGATATGGATAGACAGCTTCTATTTTACTGAGATAAAAACATTAGAAACCTGTCTTTTTCAACATTGTTACCTATAAATAAATCCTCTTGATGGTCATACAGAATGTATGTTTGTTCCTTTTCATTCTTTAAAATTATGATCATCCATTACAGAGATTGGAATGTCTTTCTATAAACATACCCCCTAGTGTTTCCTATGAATTTTGTGTTAAGCATGTTAGAAAGAACCATCCACGATACTAATTGCAGACTGCCATCTATCTGAAATGGGTAGCAAATTCATTTTAACTCAGCCTCCCAGATAGCTCAGTAGTTTGTCAACAAATGGTCTTACTGGGAGGAAAAGCAAACTCCCATTGATCACACTGGCATATTTCCCAGTTAGTTTGTGTTTATATTCTCTGTCAAGGAGTGGGAGAAATATGCATTGTGTCTCTTGTTGGTCATAAGTCTGAAAAATGGTTTCTTCTTTGAAATCAGCATAAAGCACCACCCACTGGTTTCCAAAGGGAATTTTATTTCAAACTTATTTATAAGCTTCAAAAGAAGTTCTGAGCAAGGTAGAGAAAGGTAGAAGTGTGTTTTAAAAAGTGCTTACCTTATTACAAAACAGACTACACTTACCAGTACAGAACAGGAAAAGTTAGGGGAGAAAAAGTGCCCCAGTCAGTGGGATTTTATTGTTGACTCTAAAGAAGACACCCAATCTTAGGAAGAAGTTGGCCTTCATATAAATAACGTGTTGTCCTAGACTATTTGATTCCCGCTTCGAAATGAGCGTGTGTGGCAGAATAAACTGGAAAGGAAGCAGCAGTAATTGATCAAGATTTCCAGAAACATAAACAAAATATTTTCAGAGCAACCTTTTTCAGAAGAATTGGTTTTAAATCATTGTTGCTAGATGGTATAGACTACTTCTGTGTAATGGAAGGTTAAACAGATTCTTGAAACAACAAAAACACCCTTCAAAATGATCTATTTTCCCAGGGCAATACAAAAGGGGTTTGCCCATTTTTGTTTTGATTGCTTCAGCTTTAAACAGAAATGGTAATTTCAGTACACAGGCACTTTAGTACCTTGCATGAAAGCAAGACATCAATTGTAGAGATGTAATCAGAAAGTACATTGCCTTATGTTTTATTTCCTTTAATCATTCTTCTTTTTTGATGGAGTACTGGGTTTTCTAATCGAAAAGAGGAGTTTTGGAATTGCAGGCTTAGAAGAATGGGTTAGAATAGCCATCTTTAGTTTTTAAATTGCCAGGAGCCTGGTAATAATATGTCATTTGGAGGGCAATTGTTAAATATACCATTATATTGATATAAAAATGGAGATCTACCTGTGAAAATAGATGTTAATAGCAAATCTGGTGTTTCTAAGACAATAATTGGAAAGATTTTTGAATACCATACCCCATAGTGGATTGCTAGACTACTGACATACTAAACAGTAGTTTCTTCAATTACTAAAGACCATATCATAGTCTCATTGGTTGGATATTCAGTTAGCAATCCTCAGGGGATTTTTCTCAATGATGTTGTGCAACTGTCATTCTAGTTTTCTTTCTCTCAAGTAATTTAAAATGCATTATTGATCACACTACAATTAGATGGTTTAGGGGGAAATGAAATCCTGCCCTATTAATGATATTGAATTAATTATTCTAAGTCTTAAGAAATGTCCCTACAAGCTAATAAAGTTATTAATAGCATAATAAGAAAGGAGTGATCCTCAAATTATCATCTCATAGTTCTGCAATAAAAGATCAATTTGCTAGAATGTAAACTTACAGCTGCTCTTGTAAATCATGTGCTGAGAAGCTAACTGGAATCACCCTGAGAAAGAACATAAAAATATTTAAATTTGAAATCCAAGACCATATGATGAATGGGATTTATATTTCCTGGAAGGCCCTTTCTAAGTATATATTGGTGCCATGGCATGCATATTTTATGTTTTTATTTATTTTTACCAGCAATGTTCCCATCTCAGAGTGATCAATAGTTTCTGTTGTAGGAGTGGTAGTTGGAAGAGAACTGAGGAAGACATTTCAAGAAGCATTTAAGGAGAATAACAGGTAGTGTGGGGAGATAGATAGCAAGGAGCAAGGGAGAAAAAATGATATACAATATAACTGTATTCATTCATTTGCTGTCAGTTACTTCAGCCTGACACATTGGCGAGTCTTCTAACAACATGGATGTTTTACCTGCCCTGACTTATTCTGGACTGACTTGACCTATTTAGCACAGCAGTATTTGTTCCTTGGACTTTCTGCCCAGTCTCAGCAGGTTTGCAAAATCACTGGGATCTGGAGAGGGACCTGCAAGAGACTCATAGCCTATTTTCAGCATTTGCTGAGTACTTATAATGCCTTGGACAGAGGGATTGGCAATACAAATATAGATGGGAGTAAGACATAAGGTGTGCCTTCAAGGAGCTAATTCATGATATAATAGAGAAGACAAAGAATTAAAGAAAACTATCAGACAATATGGTAAGTGTAATAGAGCTATGGAAACAAACTATCAACACATGCTGGAGCGAGTGACCACCTCTGCCTGGATGGAGCATTGGGGAAGATGTGAGTTGTCTGAAGTTAGTTCTGCCAAGTGAACAAAGTGAAGAAAGCCTTCAGAATAGAGACAATACATACGCAATCAGAAATGAATGGAAGAAAACTGAAGGAGTACGCAAAGGCCAAGCCAACAGGAATTTGTTTGGCTTATCAGTAAGGAATGCACTCCTTATTTCATAGGAGATATGTAGCTCTTGAAAGGATTTAGGTCATAGAATGAAATAATCTCTGGACGATGGTTTGAAGATGAGAATGCATGGAAAGCAGGAGATCAGGACGTTCAGAAAAACTAAAGTAAAGCAGTAATGTAGGAATAGAGTGGGAGATTTCAATGCATATTAGGAGATACTTTCAACAAGAATTGGTAATTAATTAGGTTTAGAACATTAAAGGAAATGAAGAGTGAATATGATGATGTGGGATGAGTTGGAAATACCAGAAAACAAAACAAAAACAAATATAATGAGCTTAGTTCCAACCTCCTTAGGTACCTGCGGAATATTCAGGTAAAGAGGTAAGAAATTGCATGATAGAGAAAGAGTCTCTGCAGGAGAAAGGTTTGGGTCATACAGATGAGAGTAAAAATTGTGGGTAGAGATTCAGTTGCCCAAACAAAATGACTGAAAAACATTTTTATATGTCTACGTCCCTATTTCCTGTACCGGTGATTGTGAGATATGGTCCTAAAGAGTATAAAATGCAAGTTCCTTCAGTGCATCTTTGAAGTGCATTTTAGCACAGTAGGATTTCTTTCCCTTTCAGAAAAGCAGATTACATTCTTGATTGTGTTTTGCTAAGATTAATATTAAAATGAATGGATGGATGGATGAATGGGCCTGGAGAGATAGCTCAGCAGTTAATAGCACCGGCTGCTCTTGCAGAGGAATCGGGTTTGGTTCCCAGTACCCACATGGCAACTAGCAATAATCTGTAACTCCAGCTCCAGGGGATCCGACAATTTCTTCCAACCTCCATAGGCATTGCACGACATGGGTACACTTACAAACATGCAGGCAGTACACTCATACGCAATAAATAAAATATTTAAAAATGGATGGGCAGTCTTTTTTTCATGAACCAGTTGCATAGTGAGGATAATTTAGGCAGATTTTTGCCAGGCATCAAGATATCCAGCCAGAGATTAAATACTAGCTATGTAGGATCCACAGAGCCCAAGATAAATAAGAGATCATTAAGAAGTAGTCATCAAATACTTTATTACAGAATTATAAAATCAGTATGAAAGACACTCTGCATTCCCCCTACTTCACACAAAGACAAACTGAGGCAAATGCTAAACTACTATTTGCTGTGGTTACACAATTAAATAAAACTAAGGGTGGTGTTCTTTATTCATAGGTTCTCCTATGTCAGGTCAAATTTCCTTCCTGTTTTGAACTATGAGAAAGAATTTAACTATTGGCAAAATGAGTATTTGGCAATTGCTTTCTAATTTTTCATTCTCTCTTTTGATTATTTATAGGAATTATACATAAAGGAAATGGGGAAAATATGTTCATTTCCCAGCAACCCCCAGTCATATCAACCATCATGGGCAATGGACACCAAAGGAGTGTAGCCTGCACTAACTGCAATGGCCCAGCCCATAACAACAAGCTCTTTGCTCCGGTTGCCTTGGCTTCTGGCCCTGATGGTAGTGTGTATGTTGGTGACTTCAATTTTGTTAGGCGAATATTTCCCTCAGGAAACTCCGTTAGCATTTTGGAATTAAGGTAAGGCTCTTCTGATCTCTATTTGCTTAGTAGATAAAGAAAAAACAATGAGAAAGTAACATGAAGAGACGAGGCATTACCAACAGAAGCAGAAAAATGTGTTTTTCCATATTATAGCACCGTGTTAAGACCCAGGAATAGGGATAATGGTCACAAGTCCACTCACCCTATTTGAAGGAACCTTTAATCACTGTGTTGAAGAGCGAGGAGGTGTTGACATCACTGAATGTGAAGCCTCCCCTCAGTGTACATTGATGTTATGGACATGGATTGCAATACTTCCAAGTGCTCCATAAGTCACACACAGCTGGCTACTATCAAGCTAATAAAAGCTACATAGTCCATTATAGCTGGTAAAGCTATTGCCAGATCTAAAAGGCTAAACTTTCAAGGTTTCCAAGTCTTTTGAAGTGACCATTTCATAAAGAAGAACAATGAATTCTGTTTTTTCATGGCATGATATGGAAGGACAAGTTCTTTATCTTTGAAGGTGCAATTCAATGATGATTAAAGCATTCATCTTTACATTTTCTTACCTGTTCTAAGTAATTTCCTGAGAGTACAAAGACTTTTAATATTTTCTCTAAAGAATTATTACCTCTTTGCTACTGAGCACTGAAGTTCCATCCTGAAGTTACATGAAGATTACAACTAAATCAAGCATGGCTTTATCAGCTTGTTTCTTGCTTCTCTGAGGCTATAACCCAAACTATACGTCCTTTGGAATTCAAAAAAAAGCAACTGTCCATTCTTAACCCATTAAGGATTAAATAAACTGCTGCTTCTCCCCTGGGTAAATTGGCAGACCTTTTCTTCTGATCAGTTATGGTTGCTTTATCCATGACTCATGATTCTGGAAATTAAGGCAAAAGTTTCTCTATATTCCAAAGGATGTTTATGTCATCCTGTTAATTAGTCCTTAAAACTAATTTTGCCCCAGGCATCTCCTGAACGACATCAAAAATCGTGACGGATAGACTCAATACATTATAAAGTAACTCATAAGTACAGAGAGCTATTGTGTCCAATCAAAACGCAGGAGAAGCTGTGCACTAGTTTCCTTTATTGCTTACATTCACACTGTGATGGAAGTTTGAATTTACAAGGGCATTCCTCGATTTTTCTTGTATTTCATTCTTGCTTTGGAATCTATCTCTGTTTTCTCAGACTGAGCTATAATTTCACACCTAGTTTGAGAAATGTAGTCCCAAGCCACCACCCACTTTTCACATTAATTCACTCTAGTTTTAATACATTTCTTAATTATAATTGCAAATGCTGTCATAGGGAAGAAAGCTGTTAAATCCCTTGGTTAATAAAAATAGATTGTAAAGTCAAGACTTTATAAAGACAAAGCACATCCACAAAGTCTAGAGAGGTACGAATTCATAGCACCCTACCCTAATCAAGTGTTCATGTACCATCCAATGTCATGGAGACTTACCATCTCCAGTAGTGTATCTCTTTGGGCACCTACTTACTAGAAAGTCAACAGAAAGGCCAAGGTTGTTGTATCCTGGATTTGAAAACTAATTATACAACATTCTACATTGTCTTTAATCCCCTAGCAGTATTATATATGCATGATACCAAAGATGAAAGAAAGCACTAAACAATTCGTTGAACAGCTGAACATACTAGTTGGGTACAGACAGAAAAAGACCTAGTCTTGTTGAGCTTATATAGTTAACCCTATAAAGCTCACATGGTTAGTACTTATATAGCTTATTCATCAAAGGAAAAGTAGTAATCTATAAAAGCAAAACAAACGTGATATTGATATAAGGAAACCCCAGCTAAGTTTAGTCCTTTCCTTTGTAATTTAAGTGCAAATTTATCTAAGGTGAAATCGTTGTCATGTATACTGATGATATTCAGAGTTAAGAATTCTCAACAGTTTACGACCTTTGACACAATGTCATTGTTTTAAATATAAGATAAAACAACTTGGACTCTAATTACAAAGTGATTTTTCTTGGTATTAAAAAATTAGTTTCTGCCAGTTTGGATTATCCAATGCCTACATACATTCTTTTTTATAAAGTTTTTCATTTTCATTTTTATTTTATGTGTATGACTGTCCTGCCTGCATGTTTGCAAGAGTATCGGTGTTGTGCAATGCCTGTGGAAGACAGTGTTAGATTCCCTGGAACTGAAGTTAAGGATGGTTGTTAGCTACTATGTGGGTGCTGGGAACCAAACGTAGGTCTTTCGAGAGTAGTCAGTGCATTTAACCACTGAACCATCTCTCCAGCCCTTATATTCACTCTTGCTCCACAACACGTCATCAGGCTTCTTCAAGTACATAAGCATGCGCCTCCATGAATTCACACACTCAGGCTTTCTCACTTAGCCTTTTGTTCTATCTGGGTTTTTTTTTTTCTGAGCAGTAATCCTTCAGAGTTTCTTAACAATTTTTGTCAGATTCGAATTTCTCTGAGGATTTATTTAAGGCAATGAGTCCTCTCCACAGAGGGAATATATCACCCAAATTGTTCCTGTGATTGAATAGTTCATCATTTCCCTTCTTTAACATCTATACATCCACCAACCTACCAGCAATCAGTTTCTATAGTGAAGTCATGTCATAGATTCATGGTTAAGATCTGATCTCCTTTTGACTAAATTCAAGGAGAAAAAATATTGCCGTTCTCAATTCTAGTACTCCTATGATTGGCCATCACAGAAATAGCTAGTTGAATATGCAATGTCATCTCTACCTAATTGACAAGTAACTCCCTAACTATTTGACTGTAGTTGAAACTATCAAACCAGTTTATGTCAGCACACATTAGGTATCACGTTTGCACAGAAACTAATATACTTCTTATAAGAATCATATTTTTTAAAAAAAAACTATCTTGATCTGTAGCCTATATGAATAAATCAAACTTTCAGCATATAATTGGTGGTTTTATATATTTGCTTTATAACTTTCACAGATGTAAGTTTTCTTGGAAGAAATAAGTTGATTTAATGAGGCCTTTCTGTCTCCAAAACCATAATGCCTATTGAATCTACTCTGTTTAAATAGAAACTTCATTTTGTACCAGTTTTGTTGCTGCCATTGCTTAGATCAGTTAATTCAATTCGTTCTTCCCTATGCACATAAGTTATTTTACATGGTTGAGTAATTTGTTTCATTAAAAATATGGACTAATAGCCAGGCGTGGTGGCGCACACCTGTAGTCCCAGCACTTGAAAGGCAGAGGCAGGCAGATCTCTGTGAGTTCAAGGCCAGCCTGGTCTACATAGTGACTTCCAGGACAGCTGGGGCTACAGGGAGACCCTGTATCAAAAAGACCAAAAAAAATATGGGCTAATACCGTCATTATATTGCTTAGATTCAAAATTGTGAATGGAGGAGCAATATTGTATACAGATTATAATAGGGCTGGAGAGTTGGCACAGCCATTGACAGCTCAAGCTATCAACCAAAACCAGAATAGGATAGAGAACCTCCTAGATCTTGAATCTCTTCTGATTATACATTATTTAATTTAATTACTCTGTCCTCTACTTCCTTATCTATAACTCTGAATTCAAGCTTGTGCTTTGAACATCCTCTTTCTCATCTCATACAGTTTTACTTTTCTGAGATCTACATATGAATAGTTCTCTGCCCAACCTTTAACAACAAATTAAGAGAGCCTAAAGTTTGCCTCAGATGGAGGGCCTCCTGTACTTCCCTCTTTCCCACTATTTTATTCCATATTTGAGCTATATTTGATAAGATTCCACTTGATACTTTGAAGATTGGAAGGCTATAGTTTTCCAACCCTATTCCAGCTGATCCAAACTATTCCCACCAGAGCTTTCTTTTCTCTGACCTCAGTGATCACTTCATTTTCACTGCTTGCCAGCCATTTTCATCCCTCTGGCTGTTAATCATTGACTGAATAGGAAAAGAAAGAAAAAGTCAATGATACGTTATCATTCAAAACTTGCCAAGAAAAACATGATTTCTTGTTTGTTATCTCTATTTCCTGCTGCTTTTATCCACAAACAATGCTTTCTTCCAGTGGGAGACTCAGGCAAGATAATAAAGAAGTGACCCTTATGAAGCCATGTTTCAAAAGTACATTTTCTGAAGACTTTTAAAAGTATATTCACTTCTAAAACAGTTTGTGTCTAGGTTTCCCTGTGGATTTGCTTCTCATGTTAAAGGGTATACATACATATGTACATGTATATGCATAAATACATGCATGCACATTTCAACAGTACAATAGTAATTTCACAGGTGTATGAACTTAATGTTTGTTAGAAGTGTATATGACAATATTAAGCCCAATATCGTGCCCATTGTATGCCTGACAGTTTGTCATTTATACTTTGATCTTTTTTCAATAACCAAAAAGTTAAATTGCTCTTCGGAAAGCCCACCACATCTTTGGAATGCTCTGTAAAAAAGTTTTTTTATATATAATCAAGTTAAATCTGCATTGATGAAACATCCATTTATTAGCAGCAAATGCTCACATCTGAAAAAGCACAGAAGTAATTTCCCTTTTTATTGGACAGACTGTCATAAGTATGAAAACAGCTGTCACAGATTTTTGAGCTTTCTCTTCTTCAGTTCCAACATACCCAAGTTCTTTAACTATGTCTCATCAATTATGACTGCTTCTTTTTTCTTTGATCTTGATTGGCTTCACAGTCACTTTTTGGTTTTCCAAAACTAATAAGAATAATTATATAAGTGAAAAATAGAAGACACAATTCCAAGTGCTTTGGAAGAATTCAAATATGTAGTATACCTGTTCTAGGTTCTTTTCAAATTCTGTGACAAAACACTTTCACTAATACCACCTTGGTGAGGAAAGGGTTTATTTGGCTTACATCTCCCTGCTCACAGTTCATCTATGAGGGAGTCCAAGGTAGGAACTCAGAGCAGGAACCTGGAGGCAGGAGCTGAAGCAGTGGCCGTGGAGGAATGCTGCTTACTGGCTTCCTCCCTGGTCTACGTTCAACCTGCTTTCTTATACAATATAGAACAAGCTGTCCAGGGGTGGCACTGCCCACAGTGAGCTGAGCCCTCCCACATTACTCAACAATCAAGAAAATGCCCCACAGATATTGTCACAGGCCAGTCCAATGTAGGAAATTCCCCAGTGAAGGCTCCCTCTTCCCAGGTGTGTCAAGTTAACACGAAAGCTATCCAGCACAATACCCTTGCTCACCTCTCATCTTCTAATTTCACAATTCTAATAAAAAAAAAAACGTTAAGCATGACTGGAAGTAATTTATTCTTTATAAAAACCACATGCTGCTATTTTTTTAGGATTTAGTTATTCTCCATACATTTATTTTGTCTTTCCCTTAAAAATGAAAAGGAGAAGTAAATAAGAGGATAGTAAATGCTTCTTGGTACCTTGAGCAGTTTGGACTTGACAAATGTCAATGTGACATGAAAATTTCTCTAGAGAGTGTGTCATTTCTTTTCCAGTTACTGGCTGCTATTTCTTACATTGTCCTCAGGACTTGACTTATGTCATTGATTAGAAATGGCTTAGACCTAGAATAGCACCCATTTAGGGGCAGTTAACATGCCAAGGAGCAGTGGAATTTGTAGAGCACTCTTCTGAAGGATCAAATGGAACCTGGGCTTTGGAGAACTCTACACATAGCTTAGACATTGTCACACATGATCATCATGTTCACAGCACTGGAGCTACAAACACTAGAAACACTGCCTGTAGATGAAATAGGTTGCTATCCCTGATCTACTTCAATCACATACATCAGCAGGTGCACTCAAAGGTTCCTTCTACCTCCCCCCAAAATATCTTCTAGAGCCTAAAGTGACTCATAGCTGTTCTTAGAAAATGGAGGCAGGAAAATTGTGAGTTTTAGACCAGCCTGAGCTGTATCCGAAAACAAAACTGTCAAACCCTTACTAGACTTTCACAGCGTCTAAACTTTCTACTCTAAGAAATGTGTTCCTTGGAGTTAAGGACATTGCATGTGTAAGAGTACCTGACATCGTAAGTTTATTTAAAATGCTTCATAAAATTCAAATCATCCTCAAGATTGCAAAGGAACTTCTGGTTTAAATCAAGGCTTTAAAATACAAGACAGATAAGCTGTGAGAACAGGGAGGAGTAGTGCCGGAATGTAGGAGAAGTTAGTCTGAGATGACATTTGTTGGAGTTGGAAACTCTAAGAAGTCAGAACAGGCAAGTGTGGGTTCAGAATATTCAACAGAAGAACAAAGAACAAAGAAAGATGAACGAAAGAAAGATGAACATCAAGTGTTTCTGGTCAGGAATAAGGAAAGAATCTAAGAACAGCATGATGAACACAGAAAGGGCTGCAGCTACCATGGGACAAGTCATTTGAATTCCCATGACACCAAGTCACTCAGCAAGTACTCCAAAGTTGGCATTGTCCCTGTTTCTCATCTTTTACTACAGAGAAATCTAAAAGAGTATTAGAACATCATGCTAAGTGAAAGAAGACAGGCAAAAAAGTACAAACACTGTATGATTCCATTCATGTGAAAGTCCAGAATATGCAAATCCGTAAAGACTAAATCTAGATTTTGTTGTCTGGAGCAAAGGGATGAAATAATGATAAAACGATTATTAACTAATAGATGTAGAATTACTTCTTAAGATGATGAAAATGTTCTGGAATTGATTGATAGCAATGGCTGTACAACTCTTCAAATGCACTTAAAATTGCTGAAATGCACACTTTACAGGGGTGAATTCTGTGGTGTATAAATAATGTCCCAATCATTTGTTTTTAAATTGAAAAAGCAGAGTAGATGGCCCTTTTCATCATCTGTATCCAGAAAAAAACTAAGGATCCATTCGCAGATCCTAACATTAGGAATATGTATTGCTCTAAAAAGAACTGTGATTCCATTCTTTTCTCCTGTTAACTGATGACAAGCTTCAGGTCTATCAGTTGGGAGGTGGCAATGCCCACTGGCAGGCCTAGGCACTTGTGAAGAGTTCACAGAGTGTCAACTCAGTATGTAGTCAGTTGATAGCTAGATAGAAAATTCATTTGGTGGAGGTTCAATCCTCAATCCTTAACTAAAAGTAATTCTGAGACAGAACAAGGTCACAGACTGGAAATAAATTCCGTCATTTTCACTTCCTCCCTCTGAGATGTTAATGAGAGAAGCTGCTCTGCATAATATGGGACATCTTTCCAAATTCACCATGACATTATTGGCAGGATCAGAAGAAACTGCAAAAAACATCAGACTGTCTCCCTCTCTGTTCCTTGCCATCACCTAAGAATTTCAAAATGCTTTGTAGCTGTACAGCTGGCTATTTCTATCCCATGAGAATCTGTTGTGGATGAAATCATATTTTAATGAGGTCCTTCTAATATTTTTGCAACTACACTCCTCCAGGAGGATCAAATTTATCCCAGTGTTCAGAGTGAGGCTCCAACACTCATCCTATGCAGACCACAAAAACAAGCAAGTGTCTAAGAGACAAAGGAAAAGGCACAAATGCTAGAGGCTGGGATTCTAATCAGAGGTCTGAGTCTATACTGATTGACCTTTGTGGCAGGCCACAAGATACCTACCCTTTTGAGATGGGCCAGAGAAACAAAAGAGCCAGTGGAGTGTGACCTGTGTCCAGGCTGGAAAAATCCCAGAAAGGTTCTTTTTCAAGAGAGTTGACTCTATTTTAGCCGATAATTTCTAATGAAATAATTCTGTATCTTTTCTTCTTTCTAGTCATTCAAAAGAAAAAGGACATTTCCTAGTTTTTGCAAAAAGATTAGTTATCTTTATCTCTTCAAAGTGACCTGAGGGCCAGATTTAAAAGGATTTTAAAATTTAAATAACTGTATTTCACAGATGATTATAGCCTTTTATTTCCAGGCAAACTTGACCCAAAATCAGGCCTACACACAGACTACATCCCCCATGTGAAATGCATCACACCATGTCAGTGACTGAAACATTCAAGGCAATACCCTGTGCCAAGAATCGATTAGATGAAGGGCTAACGAAGAGGTCTGCTTCTTTTGGGCTGACAATCTGTTTTTCCCACCCCAGTTGCCCTCTTGAAACACAGATGGATGGAAGACATAAGGCTTTAATAGTTGATGTACATGTTTTTAAATTGAAGCTGATTTGACGCAACAGTTTTGATGCTAGGGGCATTCTATCATGATCTCAGAGAAAACCCTCATAATTTTTTCATTCTTTGAAATTTTCATACATTTACACAGTCTATTTTGATCCTCATCCCTCAATACCTCTTTCAACTTCCCAAGTGTCTCCCAACTTGTCTCCCCCCAACTTCATGTCTTTCTTTTGTTCTTATTATTAATAACCCCCTGAGTCTAATTAGTACTTCCTATATGTGCATAAATGTAGAGCCATCCGCTGGGGCATGGGCACCTTGTCAGTAACCAAAGGAGAGTAATTCTCCCTCCCTCAGCAACCATCAATTGCTAATTGCTCCTCCAAAGGTACGGCTTCCGGGGTCCTTCCCCCATTCATACAAGAACTGTGATTGGCTTGACCTTGTACACGTCTTATGTGGATAATCACATGTGCTGATGTGTGCATCAGCTTTCATGTGTCATAACTCTCCTCCTCATCCATCAGCTCTTGTATTATTTCCACTCAGTCTTCCATGAAGTTTCCTGAGCATTGGATGGTAGATGCTAAAATAGATGACCTAACTACAGTTGAGCACTCATGATTATTATACTTGGTGCTTTGTCCAGGTATGAGTCTCTGCATTAACCACAATCTATGGTACAAAGAAATCTCTGACTAAAGTTGAGAGCAACACACATCTAAGGACATACACAGAAATATGTAGAAGGCAGTTTGACAGGATGACTATTTAACATAATAACAACAGTAGGATTCCCCCTTAGAGCTTACAAGCTCCCTAGTTTGGTCTTTTGATTAGGTTTACAGTACCAGGCATCGAATCCTTCATGTAAAACAAGCCTTATATCCAATAAGGAAGTGGTGTGGTTGCTTACCCCCATTTTCATCATGCCCCTATGGCACTTGCCAGAAAAGTCAATGGCATGCAGCACACACTCATACTTTTAACTCAAAACACTTTAAAATATTATCAATGAATGTGAAGAACAGGTATCTCTACCTTATTTCTGAGATCAGATAAATGGCTTAGAGTTGAAGTTGAAATGCCTTTCCAACACGTAACTTAATAAAAATGCACTAGTTTTACATTTTCATAGAGTAGTCAGGGATATCAAACCATGACACTAATTGGTCCCTTGTATTGGCTGTTAACTCCAAGCCCAGTAGTTTGCAAATCTTAATGCCTAATCAGAATTCCCAGATAAATCTGTTAAAAGTAAGAACTCCTAATCCCTACTTCTTTATATCAGGATTCTGATTTAGTAGGAGAGGGAACAGCTGCAGAAAATTGCACTTGGGCCATTATTCAATGACGCTTATGCAGATGGTCCAGGGAAAAGCTTTTTTTAAAATAATGCCTTAGGGGCCTGAAGAGATGGCTCAGGGTTAAGAACATTGACTGCTCTTACAAAATACCCAGGTTTGATTCCCAGCACCCACATGGTGGCTAACAACTGTCTGTAACTCTAGTTCCAGGAAAATCTGATGCCTTCTTATGACCTCTGCAGGCATTGCACAACAGCGGCACACTTACATAATTGCCAGCAATACACTTATACATAAAAAAAAACAAAAATAATGAATAAAATATTTTTTAAAGTGAAAATTGACTTAGTACTTCGCTACCAAACCACAAGGCAAGGTACGCATCAACCTTAATATCATCTTATAAGGAGAAGCAGGGAAGCAGTGGATCAACTTTGGCTTGCACACTGACTAAATGATCCTTGTGGAGTCTCTCTAATTGCCACAAAGCTGAATTACGAATTGATGTGCCTGGTTAGATTTTGCCTGTCGAATGATACTGATGACTCTCTATTTGCTTTTACTTGCTACTCGCGGATACCTTGTGCACCCTAGAAACAGAGATACCAGACATAGGTAAGCAAATCATATGGGTAGCTGCCTAACGACCCTCTTTGCCTAAGAAGTTACCTTTTAATAATGTGCTAATAGGATAGTTTTGGTCTTAAATAAGGTTAAAGAAATAATATGAAATTGAATTTGGAAATCATGTGCAGGTAAGTATATTACAAAAGAAGGTCAGTCTGCTCAGTAGGAATTTGCTGGAGGAACAGAACATTCAGAAAAGAAAACAAGATAAATGAAAACTGGCAGTTCAGTATGTCATGGGGAAGTAAAACTGAAAGACTCATTATGTTTCCCTAAGCTGATATCACAAATACATCCATAAGTTCAAACATATTTAATATTTTCAAGTTGTGGATATTTTTCTTCCTAAACCCAGAAATATGGTTGTCAATTATATTAAGAGACAGTGACCATGATGCTCTTAGTTTTTAACAGAAAGTTGCATTTTATATTTGATAACCTTATTTAATAACATTCACCAAAAGGAAGTAATTGACAAAACTCTAAAGTGACTATTTCCCATTTACCAACAATGCCACATAGCTTCTAAATGAATCATAATAATGAGTATTTGTATTTAATCTATTTAAGCATTGCACTTGTCAAAACTGTTCAAAATTTCTGAAATTGCAAAACAGAAAATTGAATTTGGTCACTCCCAGGTGTCATTTGTCATCAAAATGGCACCAGTAGGATTTTCAATATGGATTTTATTTGGGAGATGCCACTTCCTAAATGCCAGTGCAGAGGATCAGCCTAGACAATTTGGACAAACTGATCCTTTAAGCAAATTAAGTTGGTTGCCAATTTGTTTATTATAATAGTAAAGTGTTGTACATTACTAATTATAAGCATTAATTGTCCATTTAACAGTTTATATGATTTTAAGTAGTATGAATGAAGTGATCATTGCTGAGTTGAAAGGCATGCCTTAAATATGAAACTAACCAGAAGGTGATGGTGAAGTCTAACACCCAGGTTACAAAAGGAATTTCCACATGTCAAATTGCAATATGCATTAGTCATGAAGGAATAAAACAAGTGGGAATGTAGTGTCGTGTTTCTACTTTAGCAGGCATGGAATATTTTCAGTGTCAAAGAAGCCTAAGCACACTTGGGAAATGGCATGAAATGGCAAGAAATTACGTATCTATATCCAGGATGTTCTTGATAGTTCACTATCAAGAAAAAAAAAACATTAACCAGAGTTGAATTTGTTATGTGGGGCTACTCCCTTTTGTAAAAGAAAGTAGACAAAAGTTGAGAACAATTTTGCAGAGCAAAATAGGACAAGTTATTCAATTTAGAAAAAAAAAAGCTACAGTACTTATTGTCTTTCTACCTCCAGAACAAGAGTATTCTGTAGGCACTTTGCATATGCAGTCACATATGATCTAATCTAATGTTATTAAAGGCACAGACCTCTTAGTGATCTTAGGCAAGGCCCCTATAGTTTCCCCAGCTAAAATTTGAGGGTAATACTAATTCTAACTTAGCTCACAGGCACATTGGAGATATTCAATAATGAATGAATGTAATGCATTCCCAAGTACTTTTGTGTGAATAACATTTCTCTTGGAAAAATAGCCCATGGACTCTTCTTAAACAAAGCATGATTAATCTGGCTCCGTTGAAACTTCACAAATTGGCTACCAAAATACTAAAGATTGGTTCTGGGAAAGGTTGTAAGCCATTCTTTACTCTAAGAAGAACTAAGAATGTTGGAGAAATTTTATTCTGAAGGTAAAAATTCAACTAAATATGTAAAAACTTTCACTCAACCACGTATTTAAGAAGTCTTTGCTACAGAGATGCCTTGTCTGGTAAAGCTGCCAAATCGGTATTGGAGTCTGTTGAGGCCTTTTACAGTTTATTTACAGCACCTGTCATGGTGGTTCCAGGGTTGAAGATGTCCCTGGAATCTACTGAGTTATCTTACTCGATAAAGGTAAGTAGAAAAAAATCAAGTATTCCAATTGGACCTGATTTTTTTCCAATAAGAGCTATAAACTGATATTTGAATGACCATTTGCCAGCCTCATGATTATTAACACTCATAAATATGCTTAGATGGCAATTACAATTAAGAGAACACCAATCCTTCAAAGCTCTCTTTCTTCTGATAGCACTCTTCCCTCTGATTTCTTTGACTAAATAGTCAAAGCCTGAACTCTTTGGTGCTTTAATTTTATGTCCTACAGCCCAGTTCTAGTTCAGCACTTATGGAACACTGACCTTTTCAGGCAGTCTGTTTGACATCAAGGATAGCGAGATGAATAGGGTCTTTGTCTGAAAACAGCTCACAGTGTGGTTAGAAAGACAGCTATGTGCAAAAATAGTTAGAACCAATGATCCAGTCTTGGTTTCTAATAAATAAAAAGAGCCGTGTGTCTTTGAAGAAATGGCTGATTCTAGTCATGGGGCAGGGAGGATTCAAGATGAGTATTGAACCTTTTGTAGTGCCAGAAGTAATTAAGTCTGAACCAAAATTATAAAAACAACAGCAATAATGGTGACAATGAATGTAATAAGCATTGATGGAGGAAGCTACTAGAACAATCTAAGCAACAACAGAAAGCAGCACTGGATTTTATTTAATGCAAAGTATAAAAGAAATGCCTATGCAGTCCATATTGACATAAATAAATCATAGCATTATTAAATAAATAAAAAAGAGATAAATCTCCTACTCAGAAGAATTCAAAATAATTTATGTAATACTCTGGTCTCAAGGGAGTGTAATGCAATTCCTGTATATTAAATGTTGGCTGTGTATAGTTACTTCCCTTCAAAATGGAAGATAGGAAAGTGTTAAGCATAACTGTATAGTAGAGAAACATTGACTCTACCAGACAATCAAAACCAATCCCATCAGTGATAAATTATGTTGATCGTTTGAAAGCTTGATATGCCTTGATCAAGATGACTCTTTACCAGCAAATCTCTGCAGTTTGTATCTGAGAAAATTATCAGACACGTTCCAGTAAGGGGTTATCCTATAAAATTCCTGAGAAGTAGTCCTCAAAACTGTGAAAGTCGGGGCTGGAGAGATGGCTCAGCGATTAAAAGCACTGGCTGCTCTTGCAGAGGACTCTGGTTTGATTCCCAGCATCCACATGGTGCTTACAACCATCTATAACTCCAGTTCCCAAGGGATCCGAGGCCCTCTTCTGACTCCTGTGGGCATTGCATGACATGGGCACACCTACATGCAGGCAATACACTCATACAAAGAAAATATGTGTTTTTAATGATAAAATTTATTAAAAAGCAAGAAATGTGCAAGAAAACATTACAATCTGCAAGAGCCTAAGATGGTATGATGATTAAATATAATTTTGGATACTGGAACAGAAATATATTAGGTAAACAATAAAAATAAATTAAACAAAACATGAATTCCAATAAAAAATTTTTAAATAACACAAATAAAATGTGATAAGTGCTCCTTGGCCAAAGACCCTCTTCTCAAATAATTTCTCTCTTCTTCTGTACTAACACTTGAACTTATGAGATTCCTGCCATGCTTACTAATTTGTCTACCTGACTAGACTATGTGTTTTATCTTATGCACAGATTGCTCTCCACACCATAGTACACCTGGGTACTTTTAATTGACCACAGGAGCGTAGGAAGATGCCAGTGTCCTCAAGGAAGGTAGAAAGCCCTGAAGAGCTATAGATCTATAAGAGATGGGGAAGACAGGAAAAGAAAATAACTTTTGTGTTGGATGTGGTGGGTCTGAGGTGACACAGACACACAGGCAGTCAGTCATTCTGCTTATGACTGGATAATGGAATATGAAAAGCATCTCCTGAGATTTTTTTTCTCTTCTGTCACTTTCCACCCTCAAACTGAGAGTGTCAAAATATCAGTACTTAATGTTTTTTTAGTGAAATAATAAACAAGCACACAATGAAGAAATGGTACAAAAGAAGGAGCTCTAGGGTGAGATGATGAGAATTTGGATTAAAAACAGCAGAAACAAAGGGGGCAGTCTGGTGAAGAATTTAGTAGGTAGAATAAAACAAAAACATGACATTCCCTGGATATAAGTAATAGCAGAAAGAGGGAGTTGGAAAAGAATGGCATCTGGTTTCTGGCTCAAAGAAGTGGGGCACTGAGCATATTAGGAATAAATGGGAAAATATTTGTCTCCTCTTAGCTCTCATGGTTTATTAGGATACTGGATATTGACATATAAATAATCTAATGTAATATTTATTCTCCTGAAACATAGTGCAAATAATCCACTAGAGACTTAGAGAAGGCTTCATTCATGAGGCTGCTTTAGTAAAGACTCTAAAAGCATGTGAGAATGAATGAAGTAAAGAAAGGTTGGCATGCTGCATCACAAAACATTAGAAAGTCTCTGTGGGAGTAAATGGTCAGAATAACTATGAACAGTACGGAAAAAATGGATAAGATTTCAAAAACACCTTGGATGTCCCAGGGTATAGAAAGGGTTCAAGGCCAGAGATGATGAAATTTAGAATTAAAGTAATGGCAGAAGTGATAGAACAATTCTGAAAAACTAACTCTGACACAATTGTATGTGTAGAGAAAAAGAAGACCCAGTTGACTTCTGGGTTTACAGTTTGAATGATATCCAAAGTACATGAACATTGGGTTCAACTAAAATACTGTGAAAATGTATGTTTCTGTAGCTATCAAAAATGAAATCATGGAACTGGAGAGATGGTTCAGTGGTTAAGACCACTGGCTGCTCTGGCAGAGTGCCCAGGTTCAGTTCCCAGCACTCACATGGTGACTGACAACTATTCGTAAACTCCAGTTCCAGGGGATCTGATACCCTCTTCTGACCTCTGTGGGCATTGCACCACATGGGTGCACTTACACACATGCAGGCAATATACTCATACACATAAAATAAAATAAAAATAATTAAAACAGAAAAAAAGAAAAAGAAATTATAAGAAAACAAGAATAATTAATGAACTCAAGCATCTATGAAAGGGAAAATAACACAGGATACTACTGATTAAACAGGTATCTAAAAAGACTCAGTAAAGCCAGAATCCAATCAAAACAACTTTAATACCACGTTTAGAGAGTATATCTATAGTACACAGCCATGTGCCAGTGGATTCACCTTAGAAAAGTTAAATGTAATCAGTTCCTGAAAGAATGAAAAATGGATTAGAAAAGTTCTGGTCAGTTAAAAAGGGAAAATGTGGAAAAGTTTGACAGTGTATGACAGTGTATCTCTAGCACATCCTTCCCAGATTAGCAGTTCGCTAGCTTGAAACATGCTTTTTAATTGACATCAGGAGCCTAGGAAGATGCCAGTGTCCCCAAGGAAGTCAGAAAGCCCAGGAGAGAAGTAGATCTATAAGAGATGCGGAAGACAGGATAAGAAAATAACTTTTGGCTTGGATTTTGTGGTTCTGAGGTGACAGTGAGGTGCACAGGCAGTCATTCTGCTTATGATTGGATAATGGACTATGAAAAGTATCTCCTGGGATTTTTTTTTCTCTTCTGTTTCATTCTACTCTCAAATGGATAATATCAAAATGTCAGCATCATTCCAGGTTAGCAGGACACATCGGATTCCTTCATACCTAGACCTGTTACTAGCAAAACAAAGAGGTTTCTGTCCCTTGGCACATAAGTAGGAAGATACATAAATTATTTTGTCTATTAAAATATTTTTCCATTTATGACAAAGGATAGACCCCAGAGGTATATGTTGAGCAAATTGCTTTTAATAACATTTCTTTTCTCTTCCTCAGCACAAGTCCTGCACACAAGTACTATCTGGCTATGGACCCTATGTCTGAATCACTCTACCTATCTGACACCAATACTCGAAAAGTCTACAAACTGAAATCTCTTGTGGAAACAAAAGATTTATCCAAGAATTCTGAAGTGGTGGCAGGGACAGGTGATCAGTGCCTTCCCTTTGACCAGAGCCACTGCGGAGATGGTGGGAGAGCCTCAGAAGCTTCGCTGAACAGCCCCCGAGGTAAAAATAAATACATACATAAAAATTTATCTTTCAATTAACTACAGATTTCATTTGGCTTTGCCAAATCCTAAGGCTATTGTCATACTGTACTCCATTCATCTATCTCAATATTCTGCCTCAGACAGATACCTTCTCTGAAGTCTGTCACAAAAGATAGGTGCATTCAAGACAATTTTTAGGTGATGTGTATTAATATGATCACAATTGTTATTAAAAGGTTGAAATACTTCCTTTCTGGTTAACAAATGACTATATCCCAGGGCCACTGGAGTGCCGCCCTGGCTCCCTAGCCTCTTCCAGTTGCTCTTTTCTAGAAACTACACACAATCCAGCATTTAAAGTATTAACCAGTCCCAAATGAGAGCCTCCAGAGCCCTGCTTCTGTTCTGTGGCCTGCACTGAGTGGAATGAAGGCTGTGCCCACTTTCTACCACTGTCAGATATGTTGACTACCTCACAGACCTTCAGCATCCCTATCTTTTGCTTATAATAACCATTAATGGACTTTTCTTCCATTAATATATCTGTTATTTTGGAGGTAGCTGTATTTTGTATTTATATCAATACTCTATGTTAATGAATTCCTTTCTACATTTTTTCCTACTATGGGAACTCAGACTTACTCTTAAATTCATTTTCCAACCTTCAAGGATGGCCCTTTACCTCAATTGCCTGGAATGGAATGAACAAATCTGTGTCTGACAATTAACATCATGATTTTATAGTCTTGAAGCATATGTCCATTATGACGACTCAAGCTGAAGGATGACAAACATTTACGACTACCCCATAAGCTTAATTATTCAAATACTCTTCTTTATTCTTTTTCCTATATAGGTCCATATATGTGTATGCATTTATTTTAATGAGTTTTACAAAGTATTCACTTCACTGGGTTTCTGAAGTCCAACATTATTTTAAATATTACACACATAGTATACCCTTGTTGCAGAAAAATGACTAAAGAAAGAATGAAATTTTTAAATTAAAATTAGCATAAACTTACCGTGTATAGAAAACCACCATTAACATTTGAGTGTTTATCCTTTTAGAATTTTTCCATGCATAGTGCATATTTGTTTTAGCTCACTTAGGATCCATAGTACATAATGCTATTCTATAGCCTGCTTTTCACATTTAATGTATCATGAATATCTTTCCATGCCAATAAATATAGTGAGGTCAATGTATTTAATTTGTTAGAAGGCCACTTATTATAATAACAGTGGTCTATATAACACTGAATTTTATTTTGCCTTCTTTTGCTTTCCAGTTCTTTCATGAAAGGGACACTTTTCCTACAGAAACAAATTATTTCAGCTGTGAAACTACATTTAATGTATTTTACCCTTCCCCATCTCCCCAGCAACTTTGAGCACAGGATAGGATCCATCAAACATGCTTATTACATAATTGATCAATTAAAATAACTCTTATTTATGTCAGGTGTTCTCTAAAGGAATATTTCTCCCAAGTATTATAGTAAAGTGGCTCTTCTTTCTCTGTGTCAGCTCTTGCTGCTTACACATAGTGGGCCCACAATAAATATTCAATGAATGAATGAATAGAATATCTTGGGTGCAATATATAATCAGCTCATCTTTCAAAGAAATACGCCAGACTGAGTCTTACCTTTTATAAAGATTTGAAACTCTTGTGGATATTATAAAGATTTCTGCATAAAAAATAAAGACGAATCAGGCTTGTATTGTGCCGTGAATTGACATCCTCCCGAGTTGCTGCCAGTATGAAAACCACTCATCACCCCTACCACATTCAACCTGCCATGGAGAGAATGAATACCTCAGCTTTTCCAAATAAAGCAAATAATTGGTTCAGTATAGTTTTTCTGCTTGGAAAGATGCAATAAGAGTCCTGATGAACAGGATTTGCATGAACTCTTGAAGCGTCAGTATTAAGAATGCCAAAATTTATATATCTATTAAAACAGACGTTGAGTTTAGGGGGTTTTTTTCTTGTCATAGCTAGTAGTGTATTTTCCTTCATCTTGATTTACTCACCTTTCTTTCCAAAAGTTGCCTTTACCATAACCCAGTACCCTTTCCATCCAAAACAACCCTAAGCTTTCCATAATGTTCTTGAAGCTGATGTTGTGAATGTCTGGCCTGATTCAATTAGTGAGCTAGAAATACTTAAAGAATGGAAAGTTATGATTTATACTAGGTACTCACCACATCCTCTTAAGCCATGGTAACAGTGTTTAATATCCTGCTAGTGATCTTTAAAACCACTCAGATTGTGGACCTGCTTCCCAAACAACAGTCACCTTGAAAATGCTGGACACATGACTCCAGTGCCTAGCTACAGCACCTTTCTCCATCCTGAATGGAGACCACACTCACCTTTGTCAGGGAATCAGAAGTAAGAGTCTCATTATATGGAATGCTGCAGGGCAATTTCATAGACATTTATAGAAGGAAAATTCATGCAAGAAATTATTAAAGCATAGTGTGCAAATTGAGAAGATAGTACTGCTAATTTACAATTTCATCTTTGAGGTTCTCCTGCAGAGTCTTTGTCTCTCAAGAAAGTGTAATTTGCTTGTATTCTTGCTTTACAGCTGTCATGTATACCAGCTCTTTCTTCCTTGCCCCTTAGAAGACAGCAACTGTTCAATGGATTTCTTTAAGAAGAGGTTTCATTTTTCCCTTACAGAGAAGCTCGTAAAGAAAAGCTGTAGATCAGTAAAATATGGAAATGTCCATCTAGGGAGTACGATTTCTAGGTTAAGAAAGAAAGCTTACTCTAAGCCTTTAACAAGCAACATACTGCAATTATAGGCAGACTCTCCCACGTGTCCTTACCTATGCAAGGTAAGTCAAGTAAGTGGTAATCTGCAAGGCAGTTAATTTACTTTCCAAACCTATTCCAAATATAGGCTGAAATGTAATGTGCTTTGACATCATTCATCCTAAAGTTGAAGCAAATTATCGAATCAGATCAAAAGGCAGTAGTCTTCTGAAGGTAAAATGTCAGAAGTCCCGGAGTGTTTTGCTTTTGTTTATTTGTTGAGAAATGGCAGCAAATTAACTCCAGGTTACAGAATCTAAACTTTCTTGTTCAACCCATGTAATGCCTAAGTTTCTTTGAGTGACTGAACAAGTCACTATACCTTGCCATGGTTTTCTTTACTTTGATACTACAATAGACTTAATAATGCCACTGACAACATTCATGACATCACGTACTTTCACACTGGGTCCTGAAATTCTGCAGGTGTAAAATGAAGGGTTCAGGATTCTGTCCCTAACAGCTCTTATGTATTACAATAAACATCTGTGCCCTGCTGAGTACCTACTGTGTGCTACACAGTGGGTTATATATTTTCCACATAGCATCTCCAGTCTTCACAGCAATGCACAATTTGTGCTGTGCAATTATTCCCATTGTATAGGAGAAAGCAGGGACTCGGGCTAAGAGATATACTGAGGATCACACACTGGAGCTCAAACCAAGTTGGCCTCATTCCAAAGCACTGACTATGAAAAACCAAAGATTTTTGATGCCTGCACTATCCTATACTGCCCACCTTTCTACTAAAATTCATGCTTTCTGGGGAGGATGTTAATATTACAAAACAGTTTTCAGTCTAATGACATGTATTCAATGAGAAAAAAACAGCTTTATTTGTAAGACAAATAGTTTCTAGTTGTTTTCTTTTCCTATTAAAACCTTTTCTCTGACTTTTTCCAATGTAAGCATGCACTGATAGTGCACTACATAGCATTTACATAGTCTGTAAAGGTAATTATTCAAATAAATCTCCAGGAAACTTTGTCACTTCTCTTTGGAAGATTCTGCAATTAGGAACTTCACCAAATTTTCCTTAAGGGATTAAGGCAGGAAACCTTCATTTTATTAAATTTCCTGACTGCAGTAGTAACTACAAATTTTATTTGAAGGAAAAATGGAAATGTCCTTGAATAGAATTTCATATGATAGCCCCTGGGTACTTCTCCTGGGAAGAAACCTTTATCTCATCCAATGTGATACACTTTGATTTGAATCCCAATAAAGAGAAACATTTGCCATTTTGCTCATCAATACTTCAATGTTATAGGGCAAGGAAAAAAAGTTTAGCAAAGAGGTTGAGGGAGTACTAAACCCTGGCTTGTGTATGAGTTTGAATTGACTTTGAAAGATGCTTTTAAAACATGCGTGGATGATGTAGTTGAAACTTAGGTTCCATTTATTATTTTTACTGCAACTTTCTTTAATTCTACAGAGAACTCAAACTAATGAGTCATGTAATAGATGACCAAGTACTTAAGCAGAATGTGAAATTGTACTAGGTGGGGTTATAAAATAAGATTTGTGACAAGCTGAATGCATTTATTTTTTCTAAGTAGATACAAAGGGTGAAGGAGTGACAGGACAGACTAAAATTAATCAATGACTTAATTTGATTTTCTTAGCCCTCACCACGGATTATATCTCTATTTTCATGTGTGTCTTTAAATAAACTGACCTCAGAAGTCAGAGGGACTTAAGCAATATCCGGATGAGTGCAGTTTATCCATGAAAAAGAAATTATCCTTAAATATTTACAGCTCCCAAAACTGGTTTGGGAGTATTCAAGATGCTAGCTATACAGTATTTATTTTAACTTTATTGGCAATTATGGAATCTGGATCACTAAAGTCTAGAGACAAACAATCTGGTTTTGTCCCTTCCTAAATCTAGCTGAGGCATGCCCTGAAGCTCTACTCTTTTTCCTGGGATCTACATGCTATTCTCCAAAACTACATTTGTGGTTAATGAAAAGATGCTAAGACAACAATCAGTGACTTCTTGTTAACCTCAGTGGTGTCTATGAGGGAGAAAGTATAGTATAGAAACAGGGATGAGAATGGTATTTTGCTTCTCTGGTACACTAAGATTAATAATGTTTTTCCTAATTTCCTTTAGTATATGATTGTCTTGGTGACAACCATTTGATGGTACAAGAAAGACAGCCCTCAGCAAAATTACAAATA